AAACAGTTCAAATATAATAAATTTTGTAAAATTGTGATATTTATACCACGACAAATATACCTATACGTACAATATTTATTATAAATATCAACACACAGTCACACACAGACTCACTCGTTTAGGCCAATGAAAATTGATATCATGTTTCTCGTCCCCGCCCGCATGGGATTTATCTGCCGCACGAAAATTTTTCATTATTCATTATTTTTGAAAAATACGCTTAACAAAACACCAAATTGATCTCCAGATCAAAGTCTTATTGCTGCATTCCGCAGACGCAACTCAAATTCGGTATCTATCTAAAGATATTACTCGCCAGAATGCCTCTATTTTTCATGTCAGCCCTGGTATTTATAAATTAAAATGAATTATACACCGATTTACTTCAGATTTTTATCATATGGGGTTTTTACTGGGTCAAGGAAATTATTGATAAGCAGAATTCAAACACAAAAAATAATGAAAAATGAAAAATGAAAAAATCCCGCTCCGAATTTTTGAAAATTGTGGACGAGAAACATGATATCAATTTTCATTGGCCTAATAAATCCACATCTATAAACACAGTACACAAATCCCATACATTCCCTTGTGAAATTACTGAAATAGCTGACAAACCTTTTAATTTCGACGGCTTTGAGACTCTTACTAGTTTGAGTCTTTGTATCTCCGAACAACCACCAAAGATTGTAAAATATTTCCATACAATGGGAGATACAATGTTCCATTACTCCCGCCATAATTTATAATTCGACCATAAAATTTATCACTGGCTGTTTTGATTGCGGGCGAAATGCATCAGTCAAAAGCTCATAAGGGACGGACCATTAGAAAAGTGATGGGGGGGGGGGGCAAAACCAAAACCAAAAAATTTATTCCCAGAAAAAAATGAAAAAAAAAAAAATCTTTCAAGGCATAGTGCAAAAAAAAAAAATTCCTTGCTTAGAAGATAGGCCAAGTGGTGTACTGGAGGGAGGGCTCAGGGGAGCTGAGCCCCCTTGTTGAAATTTCATGTTGACTTGGGGGGCTGCACGTTGGTCAAATTTAGCAAAATTTCGCCCACTCGTGCGGGTTCGTATTGACAGTGGACATCTTACAGAAAGTGGCCAGTTCTCTGAAAAATGCAAAAGTTTCAATTTTACACCGCAAGTCCACTGACAATATGAGCCTGCGGTCCTGGGAGAAAATTTGCTGAATATGACCAGCGTGCTGAGCCCCCCTATATTTTGGCACGTTGCATAATCTTAACAACGTCAAAAACACACACAAAAATATCAGTAAACGAGAATGTTCTTTAGAATTGCATCTCATTTTCACTCATCATTTAACACAATAATGATTTTTGTAATCTTTATATCGCCATTTTTGTAATCTTTATATCATTTAGTACCACTAAATTGTAAATTTCGACATACTAAAACGCTGTTTTCTGACCATCAGAATTCTGTCAAATCTTCCCCAAAGTCCAGGAAATGGCATTTCAGAGACTCTAAATTTAAAAATTTCCTCGGGCCTTCGGCCCTCGCTTCGGCTTGTTTTTAATAAGAATAACGTCAAATGTTTGTCCCAGAATTACTGGAATAAACCCCAACAAAATTTAGAATTTCCAAAATATATTATTGTACCTCCCCTCCCCTCCCGCCAATTCAGGGCACTTTGGAGAGCCCCCCTTGTTAACATTCCAGGACTACACAACTAATGGTCCTAATAGGCATATAAATGTCACTTAAAGGGGCCCTACAGTAATTTTTTAGTCGAAAGCCACCTTAAGTAGGGGACTCCACGGAGATTCGTTTGGCTGTATCTTACATGCAGTATATATCCATGAGTATGAGTACTTTTGCACACCAGAAAACGCATGCATACTGTGGTGCGCATGTCAAGTAGCGACAATAACAAAAAAATGTAAACAATACTTACTTGACTAAAAAATTACTGTAGGGCCCCTTTAAAAAAAAATATTTCCAACCATCAAGTGAGAAAAAATATATATTTCTTCTATAGGTGTACAAAAAAAAAATATATTGCCTCTTAGAAAATCCCCCCCCCCATCACTTTTCTAATGGTCCGTCCCTTATTCAATACTGACTCAAACCTGCTCGTATTTCAAAACATTTAACTAAGCGGCGTTCACAAAGTAAAATTATGAGGGGGGGGGGGGGCAAGGGGGGGTCTCGTCACGAAATCACGAAGATCATTTTTCGATTTCACGAGTCACGAAAAACAAAATTTTATTTTCACGATTTTTAGAAACACAGAAGCGTAACAAAGTCTAAAACCATTTAACACAAACTGACTTTAACATTAGAGCCGTTTAAAGGACAATGAAAATCATTGCGAGGCATTACGAGCATCGTACGATGGTTCACGAAGAGGTACGAAGGTATACGATAACGACGTTTACCGATGAGACGAAGAAACCTCAAGAACTAAGACAACCGCGGGAAGCAAATTTATAAATTTTTCCCCATAATATTACATTTGGGCCGAGTTTTACACGTAAACATTCACCAGTTAGGGTAAAATATTTGTAAATTCAAGACCATAGCTAGCGTTTTAGCTCTTCACGATTCACGGCACGCATATTAATCACGATTCACGGAATGGTATTTCTTTAAATCACGAATCACGAAACACGAATAATTGCTAATCACGAGTCACGAAAATATCCTTGCCCCCCCCCCTCAATTATGTATATCGTGCGGCCGGAACATTCATTATAAATGCGTTAATTGTTAATAGTTCTATTAATTAAACAAACCAAAAAGAGCGAACACGGAAAATTATACTTGCGCGAATTTGAAGCTACGTGCGCGAAATGAAATCGCGTGAATTTAAAGCTGAGAGAAAGTGGGTACGACGCGAATTTTAATACACGTAAGCTAGGTATATAGTTATGAAAATTTATTTCATTTTTTTCTTGAAGCATTTATTACAAACATAATTTTATATATTGGAACCTTCAACAGAACTGGGTGCGTAAATAAATAATTTTTATTCATCAAATAACAATACAGGCAAATATGAAATTACATACGATAAAATTAAAAGATAGAAAATGTATCATTATAATAACTTTCAAAAAGCATTAATAATTCATGAGGAAAACATGAAGGAAAATCACATAAGCGTGTCGCATCTTTATATTATACAGGGTGTCTCAAAAAAACCAAAATCATTGAAATAACGTATTGTTCGAATTTCAATGCCGTAACACAAAGGATTTTGACAGGGTGATTAATTTGTTTTAAAAAATTAAAATATCTTTGTAAAGTGAACGTTTGTTTGCTCATGGGAATTTAAAATGCTTCGTAAATTGTAATATGCGTAATATGCATTCGTGGGTTTAGTACTTTATGCCTGACATAACAAGTTTACGCTGAGTATTA